GATTTTAAAGCCACGCGGTCTGTTAGCCCTAGGGAACTAACACTGCTGGGTTTTTGGAAAGATCCACTGAGCGAGGCTGGAGGGGAAGCCCACGCGGATGAGGGCTGGCCTGTTAGGAGTCCTCCGCAGCCGCCCAAAGAAATGATGGAGGCTAGGATGAGGGTGGTGACAGTGGGGCATGGGGAGAAGACGAAGCTGAGAAATGTTAGGAGGTGACGTCCAGTGAGAGAGGATGGAAGTAGGTCAATTGTGCTTCTATCTACAGTGACACACACACTGAACAGAAGGCCTCAGACACTTCCGAGAAGTTAGTCACCAGTGAGACAGCTGGGGTTGGGCACAGGCGGTGATGACACCTGGGTCAGGCCGGTGTGGCTGGAAAGATGACGTTACAGAGCTGCAAAATCAGCAAGTGTGTGGGCTCAGAGCAGGGGAAGTCTGTGGGATGAAGAGCCCCACCAGGGATTTGGATTGAAACCGGGGCTGGGGACAGCATCACATATCTGAGAGACAGTCCGGGGCCTGTGGCAGAAGCAAAGCCCAAACACACAGACTGGACGGAGTTCATCGAGTACTCTGCTCCCTGCCGCCAGTCCTACCACTGCAGACAGGGCTAGTCGATCCCAGCATCCATTCCCTCCATTCTGGGAAGTCCCTACCAATCGAGTGGAACGATACACAAATGAAATACTCTTGCAATTGCAGGACGGGGTGGGATTCACCAGGGGACACTGAGATTCTTCTGGACACTTGCAGACATGCACTTGGCCCCGTGATCCTTGGAAGAACTCTGAGAAGTTGATGGAGCAGATATTTGCATTACTCCTACTTCCCAAAAGGGGAAACTGGGGTCCAGAGTCACATGGCTAATAAAGGACAGATCTGGGCTCAAATTAAGATCTGTTTCCAATGCTGCTTTCTTCTCTTTCATGGGAATTGGTGACCAAAATAAGGAAGACTACTGAATCAACTATTTTTATTGTGGCAAAATTACATAACATAAACTTTACCATTTTAACTATTTTAAGTGTACAGTTATGTGGTTTTAAGTACATCCATGCTGTTTTACAACCACCAACCGCCATCCATCTCCAGAATGTTTTCAGCTTCCCAAACTGAATCTCTGTCCCCATTAAACACTACTTCCCCTTTCCCCTCTCCTGGTGGTTTCCCTTCTATTTTCTGTCTCCGGGATTCTGACTACTCCCAAGTGGCGCTAGTGGTAAAGAATCTACCTGCCAATGCAGGAGATGCAAGAGACGCACATTCAATTGCTGGGTCAGGAAGATTCCCTGTAGAAGGGAGTGGTAAACCACTCCAGTACTCTTGCCTGTAAAATCCCATGGACAGAGGAGCCTGGCAGGTTACAGTCCACATGGTTGCAGAGTCGGACACAACTGAGCACGGTTGAGGCACCTCCGAGCAGTGAAATCATACAGTCTTTGTCCTTCTGTGTGAATCAACACTTGATCCCCAGATTGCACATAGTGGAATTCACGTCAGAGTCCTGGTTACATTCTTGATTCAGACATCATTTACTGGGTATCTGTTTATCTTTAGGTTCTATCAGAAAAACAGCATGAATATCTAAAGTGTCTTGGTTTAACCCATATGCTGTTTTCATTTAAATGAGCAGATTTTTTTAAATGTCTTTCTCTCTATGGACAGTTGTAAACCCTTCCACAGGAAGAAAGAACTCAACCAGTTTCTATGGCAACTTAATGTCAGCAACCTAATTTCTTAAGACTTATTTTCAGAAACTGTGTGTGGTTTTGTTTTTTTTTTTAGACTGGGGCAAGTGGATGCTGTCTGGTAATCTTGTTTTCAGGTTCTTTTTGCTGTTTTTATATATCTATTCATCATACAATTTCCAAGCACCTAAATAGATCAGGCGCTGTGCTAGGCATTTGGGGCAACATCATATGGGCAAGTCAGGAAATGGCGCTGACCTCAGGTTTGGTAATTTAAGAGATGCTGTAGGGACATAAAAAAATACAGTTGTGGTTACCAGAGGAGAAAAGCGGGGAGGGATGAATTAGGAGTTTGGGATTACTATATATAAAACAGGTAAACAACAAGCACCTATTGCAGCACAGGGAACCCTACTCAATATTTTGTAATAATCTGTAAGGAAAAAGAACATGAGAAATAATATATGTATGTGCATATAAATATGAATCACTTTGCTGTACACTTGAAACTAATACAATATTGTAAACCAACTATCTTTCAATAAAAAACAAAAATCTTATGCAATGCAAAAAAAAAAAAATGCTGTAGGTATTCCTGAGAGAAACTTTTCATTGATAACACTAGCAAAAGTAGAGGCACAGAATCAGGGGAATATATCTGGGAGGAAACTGAAGATGACTGTCCAGCTTGTACACCCAGGTAAGAGTCCTGAGATCCTTCTCTAAAAAAGCACTGAATAATTATGATTGCAACATGGGATCAGTTTTGACTTTTAAAACACTTGAATTCAGCCTTCAAAAAAGAAGGAAATGTCACATGCTACCACATGGATGAAACTTGAAGGCGTTTTGCTAGGTGAAAGAGCCTAGTCACAGAAAGACAAATACTGCACAGTTCCAGTTATAAGGAGCATCTAAAGTGGTCTAACTCTTAGAGACAGAAAGCAGCATAGTGGTAGCCAGGGGCTGAGGGAAGGAGCACAGGGAGCTCTTAATCAGTGGGTATAAAGTTCAGTTTTGTCGGATGAAAAAGTTCTAGAGAGATGTCCCTGGCAGTCCAGTAGATAAGACTCCTCGCTTCCACTGCAGGGGGCTCGGTTTGATCCCTGGTCTGGGAAGTAAGATCCCAAGTGCTACAGCACAGCAAAAAAAGAAAAAGAAAAAGGAAAAAAGTTCTAGAGATCTGCTGTCCAACCATGTACACAGTTAATGCTACTATGTGTACACTTAAAAATGGTTAAGATGGTAAATTTTATGTTCTATGTTTTCTATCATAATTTTTTTTTTTAGAAAATAGCACAGTGATGGCCATATATGGACTCAATAAAAGGTCTGCAGAAAGCCAAAAACCCCAAAAAACAAAACAAAAACAAGTTATGAGGTCCCAAGTCCTGGCCTCATATATTTTCTGAAAATTTTAGCTATGGGGTGGGAAATGGGTAGTTATTTTCCTCTTTTTTGCCATTTTAGTATGTGCAATTTAAAATACAGCTGAGAGCAACATGGATGCAACTAGACATGATCATACTAAGTGGAGTCAGAAAGAGAAAGACAAATACCATATGATCTTGCTTATATCTGGACTCTAAAATATGAGACAACTGAGGACTTCCTGGGTGTCCCAGTGGCTACGAGTCCACCTGCCGGTGCAGGGGACACGGGTTCAATCCCTGGCTGAGGAAGATCCCACATGCTGTGGGGCAGCTAAGCCTGTGTGCCGCAACTGCTGAAGCCCGCGCGCTAGACCTGTGCCCTGCAGCTAGAGAAGCCGCCGGGATGAGAAGCCTGTGCACCGCCACCCAGAGCAGACCCTGCTCATCACTGCGACCAGAGAAAAACCGCTGCCAGCAAGGAAGACACGGCACAGCCTAAAAGATGAATTAATATCTTTAACAAAATGTGACACAAATGAACCTATCTGTGAAACAGAAACAGAATCACGCTCATAGAGAACACACTGGTGGCTGCCAAGGATGAAGGAGCTGGAGGAAGGATGGAGCGGGAGGCTGGGGTTAGGATATGTAAGCTTTTATATACAGAATAGATAAAAACAAGGTCTTACTGGATAGCACATATTTAATATCTGTAATGGAAAAGGATATCAGAAAAGAATGTATATACAGGTATAACTGAATCACTTTGCTGCACAGCAGAAATTAACATTATAAATCAACTATACGTCAATCCAAAAAAAAGTACAGCTGAGAAATACCAAAGTCAAGACTTTTTTATAAAGTCATCTAACCAGTGCTATCCCCTTGGCAGGACAAGTCTTTGTACCCATCTGACACTGACCCTGAGTCTGTCAGCCCTGGACTGAGGTCGGCCTCACACATCTAAAGTTTCAAAGGCTGACAACAGACCTGCCTCCGATGGCAGCCACTAACATCTGTGGGGGGAGCCCTTTTCAATTGACAGAGCCCCCTCAAATGTGTTTGCCTCGCTTCAACCACTGTCTCCTCTTTACCAGGCCTCCGGTGTCTTGACGCTTGGCTAGCAGGGTTGGTTTGCAAAACTGAAACCTTAGTTAAGGCTCGTTGAGGTTTGGTTTTGAAAACTGGCTGCTCCTACCCACATTCCTTCGAGATATAAATAGAAAAAAAAAGGTTTAATTAGTAAAGCAAGACATCTGAGCTATGTCCACCTGATCCTTGAAAAGGAAATCTAAGAGGTTCTTCCTATCGCTTTTTCAATCCTATATAAGGTACGTCAGTGAGGCAGCAAAAGCGTGCCTGTTTTTTGGCTCCTTCAGTTCTTTTCCCTGATTCTTCTTGGAGGAAAATCTAAAACGGTGAGTAGCTGGTGGACCACCCAGATCCCAGACTCTTCTTTCCCACGTGGCATTCATTTTAGGCTGGTGCATGCAGTGCTCAGATTCTTTTCCCGTGGAGTTGATACATGGGTGGATTCTGATCTCTGGTAAACGGGTTTTTGACGTCTCTGATTCCCATCCTTTGGGAGAGAAGGGCATCCCTTCCATAGAGGGTCTGCAAGCAACCCAAGCTCTGTCCTTCTGTAAGTGAAACTTGTAACGTTGCATTTCTCTGGCTGGTGTATTAAAATGCCATTGCATTTGTAACATGGTCTACTTCTGAATGGCTTGTAGATGTCTGTATAAGTGGTCGATGATATAAATAGAATTTTTTTTTACAAGAAAGCAGCATCGAATCTTTATTCAGTTTGTATTTTTTAATTTCATCTTTGGTGTATCTTCAAGAGAGGACACTGAGACGAAGGGGGCTGGAATCTTTTCAGTATTTGGTTTTTATTTGGATATTATGTCTTAGCTGGTCATACGCTTATTACATTTTAAAATTTCTCAACAAATGTGCAGTTTCTGTGGGCCCGAGGGGGTGAAGTCCCCCAGACATGCGTTTACCACATCTCGATTCTTCCGTGAGAACAGGTGGAAAATGAGCATCACAGATGTCCTCAGCGCTGACGACATTGCAGCAGCCCTGCAAGAGTGCCAAGGTAAAGGGGAAGCGAGGCAGCGGTGGGTTTCTCACACATATTGATAGCTCCTGAAAAGCTACAAAAATTAAAACGCAAACTGGCTGAAAGTGCATTGGAATCAAAGGAAGAACTTATTAACTAGATAACCCCATGATAAAAATAGGAGATCTGAGCATAGAATCACTTTCTGTAAGGTGGAAGAATCTTACTAAACATGAAGAAAAAAAAAAAAAAAGGAATCAGTGGATCCCCGTAGCCTGTTTGAATCCTATGACTGTATTTCTCTCACCAGTTAGACCAGTGGGGCTGCCATCTTGGATACACAGCCTGAATAAAGGGCATCGGGAGGCACAGAGGAGGGGAGGCCAGAGAAGGGGAGATCGACAAGTCGAGTGGAGAGGGAAATCTGTGGAGGGGGAAAGGAGATGAGAGTATGAAGGCATATGGTCTTGGCTGCCTCAGAATCCAGACCCAGTCACAGCCCTACTTGGCCTTTAAAAAAAAAGTTGTTTTTTTTAACAGAGCATCCCTGTAGCTCAATGATATCATGTAAAGTAGTTTTAACATCCTAAGTTGACATTGCTTTGGTCCAGAGACAGAATACAAACCAGTGATCATCAGAATAACCTATTCTCTGTTTTTCAGATCCAGATACCTTTGAACCCCAAAAATTCTTCCAGACATCGGGCCTTGCTAAGATGTCGGCCAGTCAGGTGAAGGATGTTTTTCGTTTCATAGACAACGACCAGAGTGGGTACCTGGATGAAGAAGAGCTGAAGTGAGCTTTGTCCTAAGCCCGACCAGCACCCCAGCATTGTTAGGTGGGGTTGGGGTGCGGTGGAGGCCAGTCTCCCCAGTATCTTTCAATGACCAGCTCTGATGCTGGTCACTCAGTAGATTCTCATGAAAGAGCAGAACATGAGTCAGTCGGCCACGCTGACTCACAAAACACTAAATACGGGCACCAAAGACCTTGGGGACAAAAAGTCTTCAGTCTTAGGAGTATTCCTTGGCAAACCGACTTAACAGCAAACTTCTGAAAAAAAATTTTTTAAACAAAAGATCCACTAGTCTCGACAATGAAGGAAACTTTTGCTTGCTAAGATCTCAACTGATTATTGTGGTTGCTGCAAACAGATGCTTTGCTTCAAGAGAAAAAGAAAGAGGTGAACACAGAAATGTGTGTGCATTTTTAAAAACATTCCCCTCACTCTTTACTATCCTGTAGGTTTTTCCTCCAGAAGTTTGAGAGTGGTGCTAGAGAACTGACCGAGTCAGAAACCAAGTCCTTGATGGCAGCTGCAGACAATGACGGAGATGGGAAGATCGGGGCTGATGGTATGTTCACACCCGTACACGAGAGACTTGAGCTCAGGTGGCATTCAGAGCAGTGGGGTTAAGCCATGAGGTCAGACAGATATGGGTTAAACCCCCCCTTTCTTCAGCTTGCTGAGCCTCAGTCTTTTCATCCATAAAAGTAAAGTGAGGATGCAAATGATCTATGTCAAGACTCTGGCACGGGGATATAACATAGAAGGTAGCCCCACTGATCACTGTCTATGAACCAGAAAATACCTTTCACCTGACCAGGGTACTAGCTACTAGCCTGGCCCATTATTTGCAAGACACCCTGATGTTAGGAATCTCCAGCAGTGGGATTTGAGTCTCTCTGAATAAGGGAAGAATTGACATTCTCAAGTACATTTCATACCAAAGTATCTATTTGATACTTTTGAGTAGGAAAGGATCTTAGCTTGCAAGAGTTTAAAGAAATATGTTTTCCTGAACATTAGCATACCAAGGAGGCAATACTAAGATAACACTAAATCAATCACCATTTGTGCAGCCTTCTGGGTGCAGAGCCCTGTATTCAAATTTTAGCATAACTGCATGTCTGTAGGATTATCTTCATCTGATTCTGTCATGTTACCACATGTTTTTCCTACTTCGTGCATGTCAGCTCAGGAGTACTTATCTGTGTTCCTTATGGTGGTACTAATTAAAATGTAAAACTGCTACTTTAGATCCTTATCTTAAAAATCTACTCAAAATGATACCACTATCACTTACTACATGGGAGTTAATGCAGCCTATATAGATAGCTCAGAAAAATATTTCAGGTAAGGGAAAATAGATTTATTTAAACTTACTCATGAAAGACTTCAAACAAGCAAAGCTTACCAATAAATATAAAGCAAATCCCAGTTTTCAACTTCACTCTGGAGCATCCACATCTTATTATCATCTTTTAGTAATATAAATTCGGGGGGCAAGGTTAGGGTCCAGTAGAGAAAAGTCAGCTCAAAGTCCCAAACCATTAAATGTTTCCTAAATATACAATAAGTAGCTACTGAACAGAAGGAGGAAGCTCCCATTTCTGTCCTGAATTGACCAGACACCGTGATGGGCTGCTACAATGAATTCATTCCTCGTCAGAGAAACGACTGGATTGGCAAGTTATAACACAAGGGGCTCTGGTGCAAAATTAAAGATGTTTGTCACATGAGATTAGGCGGGAAGACGGGACACTGCAGACTGTCAGTGACACCTTTTCCTCTTCCTGCGCCCTTGGAGGGGGCCATGGCCGTCATCTGACAATGCGCTTGGTTCTCTTTCCTCTTCAGAACCCTCACTGGCAGTAGCCTGTTTGTACAGTGCCAAGCCTTCCCCGCTGACCCTGTTCTCACCTCTTCTCTTCTAGAGTTCCAGGAAATGGTACATTCTTAAAGGGCCCACACTGTGGAGCTAGAATCAGCTGGAAGGCCTCCAAAGCCCCAGGAATTGGGACACCCCACCTCCTCCCCCTAATTTATTAATCTCCCCCTAAATGCTTCTATAGCTTGCCCGTTGTGTTAGTGAGGTCGTCAGACAGTCATCCGTGACTTTTTGGCGGTGGGTATGCCCTAAGAACTCCTGTAAGGCCCTCAGCCCACAAAAATGCCTTAAAAAAAAAAATCACCCAATAAAGACACCTTTCTCATCATCTGTTGATGTGTGGGTGTGGTTTCTTCCTCTACGAGGGATGAAAGCGATTTGAAGACCGAGGGAGGAATTTTAGGAAGATTTCTGGTCTTAGTCGAGCGCTAAGCCATCCTTACTTGCATTGTGCACAAGCACAATGGAAAGGAGGTTGGGGGAAAAAAGGTCACAAATAAATGGCATCATCAGGCTAGGATTTTCTCAGCAATTTGTCTGAGTCTGAAACGCCTATGAAGAGATTTTTCCAGCGGAAAGTCATGCTTGCTTATGTGTTTTCTGCTACTGGGTGTCAGGTTGTTATAAGAGAGATTTAGGTAAAAGCAAATAGTACAAGACAGAAAAAAGTGCAAGGCTACAACGGCCCTAAAGCTGAGGAAACCTGCAGTGCTGGTTGAGACAAGCAGACGTATTTTCAAGCTGATTTTTTTTTTTCCCTTAGGAAAACAGGTTATCAGAGACTTGCTGGCTCTGACCAAATCTCCTGCCACTCCCTTCTCCACCCTCCCACCTCACCTTCTTCCTCCTTCTCCCTTCTCCTCTCTCCTTTCTCAGCCACTATTTTCCTGGCTCTTATTTGATACCACCTGAACCAATTACACCCAGAATTGCCCGAACTATTGAGGCGAGACTCAGGTTCCTGTTACAGGTCTTTCACTAAGGTGGGGCAACCTCAAGCCAGGAAATTCTCATTAGGCTGACTTCCAGGTGGCAGGTTTGAGCTGTTCTCTCTGGCTGACCCCGCGGGTGAGGACTCCTGGGAGGAACCGAGGCACATTCCCGGAGCGAGTTTACAAGCTCCCACTTCTTACCCGATACCCAAACTCACAGTGCCCTGGCCCCTCTTGGGTTTGCTGCCATCCTGCTGAGTGGCTTATCTACTTCAAGCTCCTGTTTTTTGCAGGTTGTGGCAGAGCAGATTTTCAAAGTGTGGGCTATGTACTACAAGGGGATCTCAAGGTGATTTTATGGGGGCAGGGGCCAACACTATTAAATGTGATAGCCACCTATTTGTTTTAATAGGTGTCAGAAAGATAAAAGTAGCACAAACTGGATTTTAATATCGCTGCTTTAAAATAAGGCTATTAGACATTTGAAAGCATACTAAGGGACTTCCTTGACGGTTTAGCAGTCTAGTGGTTAAGACTCTGAACTCCCAATGCATGGGGCACAGGTTCACTCACTCACGGGGGAACTAGGGTCCCACATGCCACACAGAGCAGCCCAAAGGGAAAGAGAAAGTGTCATGATTTGAAGAATATTAAGTCATGCAGAGGGGCTTCCCTGGTGGCTTGGCGGTAAAGAACCTGCCTGCAACCCAAAAGATGCAGGAGACGCGAGTTCGATCCTTGGGTTGGGAAGATCCCCCTGGAGTAGGGCACAGCAACCCACTCCAGTATTCTTGGTGTGAAAATCCCAAGGACAGAGGAGCCTGGCGGGCTATGGTCCACGGGGTCACAAAGAGTCGGACACAACTGAACGACTGAGCTCACACGCACGTAAGTCATGAAGAAAGGACAAAACCCACAGAGGTTGCTTTCAGAAGACTCAAACTGGGGAAACCCAGCCCCAAAATGAAGCCCTTTGGGGAGGGCCACAGAACAGAAGTGTGGCCCTTCACGGCCGGCTCTCTTGTTCCCCAGCCCTGTGCACAGCTGTGCCCTCACGCCCTCCTCATCCCCATCCCTCCTGGAAGCAATCAGGCGGGCTAGCTCCTCTGCACCTGTAGCTTCCCTAGGTGTGTGACAGGGTCTCCCAGGTACCAGCAAGAGGGCCTTCCAGGCCAATTCTGACGCCCTAGGAGGCTTGATCCCTAAAACAATCCACATGCTGCCTTCACCACCACACCACGTGGACACTCTGATCCTCCTGACATTTCTGTTCACTCCACTAGCTCTCCCCAGGTAAGGGCTCTCATCCCAACAGTTCTGAAGGGAGAGCCTTTAAATAACTCAGTGTGATCGTGTAGCCTTGTTCCCTCGGGCTCTGGACACCATATGCCTTGAAGAAACAAGGTGAATGATGCTGCTTTTTAGACAATTTAACTGACTAAACAATCCATTACCCATTGTGGTAGCAAAAGTAGCCTCACCCCAGCAAGGTAGAGACTGTGGGCTTCTCTTGTTTCTTTTCTGTCAAGAGGGCATCTGTAATAACGGAAATAATTACACTTACTATGGAAATAATCACTGGAGGGTCTTTGGAGCACCCGGGGGACTTCCCCGGTGGCTCAGACAATAAAGAACCTGCCTCCAATGCAGGAGACCCCGATTCAATCCCGGGGTTGGGAAGATCCCCTGGAGAAGGAAATGGCAGCCCACTCCAGTATTTTTGCCTGGAGAACTCCATGGACAGAGGAACCTGGCAGGCCACAGTCCATGGGGTCACAAAGTGTCAGGTACGACAGAGTGACTAACACCCACAGGGGACACTGGGCCACTGAGTCACACCCATGTTCTGAATGTCCTAGGGAAATTGATTAGAGGATGGATGGATACAAAAGGATGAATTGCCACGTTTCCCATACATTAAAAGCCAGTTATTCACGAACTGTGTTCATTCTGCTGTTTCAAAGGGCTTCCCTGACGGCTCAGACAGCAAAGAATTCGCCTGCAATTCAGGAGTTGTGGGTCTGATCCAAGGGTAGGGAAGATCCCCTGGAGGAGGAAATGGCTACCCACTCCAGTATTCTTGCCTGGAGAATTCTATGGAGAGAAGCCTGGCAGGCTATAGTCCATGGGGTCGCAAGGAGTCAGACACAACTGAGACTGAAACTTTGCTTTGCTTTACTGTTTCGAAAGTATAATTCAAACTGTTTTTGCCCATTTCAATTACATTACCTTTTCATTTTTATAACCCAGTCTTAGGAACTTAATTTCAAAGTCTCTATCAATGGTAATAACTAGCAAACAAAAGGAGCCATCTCTCTGTATTTAACACCTGAAAGTGTCAGCTGGTATGCTTAAATCAAACAATCTTTAGTGGTCTTTATTCATACCAATTTTTAACTGTGTTCTTCGGATCTAGGGTGTTTGGGGGAGGGGGTGGGTATTCCACTCTGCAGGTAATAACAACTCCAGGCATTTAGGCACATTTGTGAATTAGCACTCTATTTTGGGAGTTATTGATCTAGGTTGAAATTTTGTAGAAACATTAGCATTTCCAAATTTTAGCAGTAAGTATAATTTGAAAACAAGAAAATGTTTTCAAAAATTACCCTAATTTAGTCATTATATAAATATTGTACAAAGCAATTCATTTTTAAATGGGTCCTATTCAATATGTGCCTCATAGGACAGAAAAAAGTGAAAGGACATACAGCAAAATGTTAACAGCCGCTCTCTCCAGCTGGTAGGATTACAGACCAGTGAGGTGGGCCTGGAGGCTTTTAAATAGGGGAGCATAGCAACTAGAGAAAATGAAAATCAAACATAGGATTCACACAAACAACCCACCTCAAGAAAGAATGTTCTCAGCAGTAGAATGATAATATTTTGACTTTGAAATGAGGGCCTACATTGCCCAGTAGGTCACAGAGCTGAAAAATTTGGTATCTGTTATTTTTCCTAATTGCTTATAAAACAGGGTGACATCAGTGGCTTTAATTTCGACTCTTTGTACAACTATAATTTGAGTTTATAATTTAGTAGTTTATAATTGAATGGAATATGATCTCAAAGGCAGCTTTGTGTATGTGCTTAATTGTTGAGACTAAAAAAAATTATTAAAATACTTCTAATATTAGTTAGCATTTTGCTTCAGCCTCTGCACATTATGTTTATACAATTATTTTAACATACAGGTTTTTGCAGCTCTTTCCAGCTCAAACACAAAGTGTAGCAAAACAGTGAAGATGTGAAATATTTGTTGAATTGTTCAGGTTTACAAGATACATAGTTAATTCTGCACAATGACTACAGTTTAATTTTGTGTAATGAGTACTCAGGAATCCAATTTCAAGCAAAAACCTATCTGGTATCTCTTCTGCTAATGTTAAGGTATGGTATTACTTTGCAAACACTTAAGAAGACAGATGAAATTGGAATCACCAAGATCATTTCCACCTGGCCTGTTAATTTATTCACTGGAAAGGCTATTCATTTACACAATGTTTTAACTGGTTTCAAAAAGTCAACGTTTTCGGGAAGGGAGTGGATTTTGACATCATTTTTCTTAGGGGTTCTTCAATGCATGTAAATAGATTCACACCTCAAATTATAAGGTATTTCAAACATACATCTGAGACTACAGAGATGTAGCAAACACCTGCGTACCTACCACTTCACTGTATCAAACCTTGGCAGGAACTGTTTGGTAGGTTTATAATTTGTCATCTTGCTTAGGCTACAGGTATGCAGTTAGGGTGGGCAGCAGGAGACATCCTGCCTGGGATTTGGAGGGTGGGAGTGAAGCAGCCATGATACTGATGCTCTGGAGGTTGGTGTGGGAGTACCTTACCTGCTGGCTCCCCTCCTTGGTGTGGGGATCTTGTTCTGTCCCAGCTCCAGGAGCATTTCCTTCTATGAAAAAGAAATCCAGCTTTGGGAGCAGTGAGACTGATCTAAGTTCCAGTCTGTTCCCAGGGGCTCCAGTCTGTCCTCACTCTCCTCTTTACATCCATCTTTCTTTTCTGCCTGTCTGTCTGCAGAATTCAAGCTTCAGCATCAGATGAAGGTGAGAGCCTTATAGAGACTACTGAACCAGGCTTCACTGGTTCATAATACCTGTAATACACATATTTGTATATACAACTGTATTTATTACATAGCTGCATAACTATAATTTATACCTGAAAATTACATTATATATAACATACATGTATATAAATATATATTTCCTAGATTATTCTCACTTTCCAATACTGATTTACCAAAGTGCCTCAGATTTTTCACTTTTTAATAAAAGAATCCTTTACAAGTGGAAGATCCTTTACAAGTGATCACAGGAAGAGATGGGGATCAAGGGCAATTTTAATTGCAGGAGAGAGATGTACCCTCAGGATGAAGGTCACCTCAGAATGACACGGTCTCTGGGCTCTAAGTCAACAACAAAAAAGGTTGATTACTTGACTCAGGGGTCTCCTATTTCTGCCAACAGAGTGGGAGGAAGTGGCTCTTTGTACAGGTGGCCTTGGGTGTGTATCACACTCAGACGTCTTCTCAAGAGCTTCCTCCTGGAGCTCAGTACTAAGATGAGTGTAGGGAGGAGAGAACTCACTAGAATGTCAAATCAGCCTGTGACCCCAGCTCTGTCTGCACAGCTTGCAGCAGACAGAACTATGAAGGAAGGAAGTCCATTTCTCCATCATCCCTGTCCCCTACCTCCATAATTCATCCATCAACACACAGTATCCTTTAAGGCAGGCACTGCACTGGCCAACGGGAACAAGATGATGACTCTAATCAGGTCTGACCATCTACAAGCTCACTTCTCTTGTTAGTGGGGAGACAGACATATGTGAGGACATGTCCAGAACGTCCCACCCTGGAACTGTGACTTCTTACCTGGAACAATGCCTTAACTTATTCCCTTGGAGTTTTGAACTCACAGATTCTTTTTCCTTATCTTTATTGAGGTGTAATTGACATTTAAAATTGTGATATATTTAAAGTGTAGACCATGGTGATTTTACATATGCATGTGTTATGAAAAGATTCCCACCAATAAGAAACACAACCATTGCCTCACATTTTTTTTAATGAAAATACTTAATTCTACCTTGCTAGCAATTTTCAATTATAGTGTTACCAACTATAGTCGCCATGTTCACGCTACAGCCTCAGATCTTACTCATCTTATAACTGCATTTATTTATGTATGGCTGTGCTGGGTCTATGCTGTGGCATAAGGGCTCTCTCCAGTTGCAGCAAGCAGGGGCTACTCACTGCAGTGGCTTCTCTTGTTGCAGAGTACAGGCTCGAGGGCACGTGGGCTTCAGGAATGTTGCATAGGCTTTATCGGCCCATGGCACGTGGGATCTTCCCGGAGCAAGGATCAAACCCGTGTCTCTTGCACTGGCAGGTAAATTCTTAATCGCTGGACCACCAGTGACGTTCCTTATTCATCTTATAACAAAAGTCTCTAACTTTTATCAGCCTCTCCTTATTTCCTTCACCTCCACTACTCCAGTCCCTGGCAACCATCATTTTTCAACTTTCTGTTCCTATGAGTTCCATTTTTTTGTTTTTAAGGTTTCCTATACAAGTGATACCACACACTATTTGTCTTTCTCTGTCTGGCTTATTTGTCTTAGCATAATTTCCTCCAGTTTCATCCCTGTTGAGGCAAACAGTAGGACTTCCTTCTTTCTTATGGTTAAATAATATTCTACTGTGTACACATGTGTCACATTTTATTCATCCATCCATCAATAGACACTTAGGTTGTTTTCACCTCAGATACTGTGAATAATGCTGCAATGAACATGGGAGTACAGAAATCTCTTTCAGATAATTTCATTTCCTTTGGATATATACTCACAGTGGAATGGCTGAATCACAAGGTAGTTCAATTTTTTTTTTTTTTTTTTTTTTTTGAGGAAACTCCATATTGTTTTCCATAGTGTCTGCCTCAACTTACATTCCCACTCATAGTGCAGCAGAGTTCCTTTTTCTCTACACCCTGGACAGCATTTGCTATCTCTTATTCTTTTTAAAAAATAAACCTAACTGGTGTTAGGCGATATTGTGATTTTTATTTGTATTTCCCTGTTTTTCTGTATCTATGAAAAATATCATTAGAATTTTTATCAGTAATGCACTGAATCTACAAATCATTTGGTAGCATGGACATTTTAGCAATATAAATTCTTCCAATCCATGGACACAGAATATCTTCCCATTTATTTTGTCTTCAATTTCTTTCACCAGTTTTATATTTTAAGTACATAGATCTTTCACCTTGGTTAAATTTATTCCTAAGTAGTTTATTTTTTTTTTTTTTGATACTTGTAAATAGGATTGTTTTCTTAATTCTACTTTCTGGTATTTTATCATCAGTGTATAGAAACACAACTTATTTTTGTGTATTGATATTATATATCCTGCAAATTCACTGAATTTGTTTATTCTAACAGGTTTTTGGTGGAATCTTTAGGGTTTTCTACATATAATATCATGTCATCTGCAGAAACAACTTTATTGCTTCCTTTATGACTTGGATACATTTATATTTCTTTTTGTTGCCTATTTGCTCAGGCTAGGACTTCCACAACTATGTTCAATAAAAGTGATTTGAGTGGGCATCCTTGTCTTGTTCCTGATCATAAAAGAAAAGCTTTAAGCATTTCATTGTAGAACACGATGTGAGCTGTGGTTTTATCATTTATAGCCTTCATTATGTTGAGGTACATTCCTTCTATATCCCATTTGTTGGGAGTTTTTAGTCATAAAAGGATGTTGAATTTTGTCAAACGCCTTTTCTCCATCTACTCCAATGATTATATGACTTTTATCCTTCATTGTACTAATGTGGTACGTCACATTGACTTTGTGGATGCTGAACCATTCTTGCATTCCTGGAATAAATTCCAATCATGGTATAAGATCATTTTAACATATTGTTGAATTCAGTTTGCTAATATTTTGTTGAGGTTTTTTTTTTTCCATATATGTCCAGCAGGGATATTGGCTATCATTTTCTTGTAGTATCTTTTTCAGTCAGGATAATGCTGGATTTGTAAAATTTTAGAAGTGTCCCCTCACTTCTATTTTTTGAAAGAGTTGGAAAGGATTTGTATTAATTCTTTAAATTTTGGTAAAATTTACCAGTGAAGCCATCTGGTTCTAAGCTTTTGTGGTTGGGAGGTTTTGATTATTAATTCAATCTCCAAATGAGTAATTAGTCTGTTCAGATTCTCTATTTCTTCATGATTCAGTCTTGGTACGCTGTGTATTCCCAGTGACTTATCCATTTCTTCTCGGTTGTATGACTTGCTGATGTAAATAGTTCATAGTAGTTTCCTGTGACCCTTAGTATCTCTGTATTATCAGTTGTAATGTCATCTCTTTCATTTCTGACTTTGAGTCTTCTTTCTTTTCCTTAGTTTAGCTAACAGTTTGACAATCTTAATCATCTTTTCAAAAAAACCAGCTCTTAGTTTCACTGATATTTTCTATTGTCTTTTTAGTATTTATCTCACTTATTTTCAGTATGACCTTTGTTATTTCCTTCCCTCTATTAAATTTGAGATTAGTTTGCTTTCTTTTAGTTCCTTCAGATTTAAAGTTAGGTTGTCTATTCTAAATCTTTGTTCTGATTGTAGGCATTTATTACTATAAACTTCCTCTTGAACTGCTTTTGCTGTATCCAATTAAGTTTTGGTACAGTATGTTCCCATTGTCATTTGTCTCAAGATTTTTTATTTCCCTTTTGATTTCTTCTTTGACATATTTGTCCTTCAAAAGCATGCTGTTTCATCTCCACGTATTTGTGAATTTTCCAATTTTCTTCTTGTAACTGATTTCACATCATATGTAACTAGTTTCATATCATTTGTCAGTGGAAAAGATGCTTGATATGATTTCAGTCTTAGTTTATTAAAACTTATTTCGTGGTATGGTACAATATATGATCTACCCTGGAAAATGTTTTATGTGTGTTTTAGCAGAATGAGCATTCTATTGCTGTTGAAATAGAATGTTCTCTGTATGTCTTTTCGGGTCATCTCATCTAACATGCAGTTTAAGTCCAATGTTACCTTAACGATATTCTTTCAGGATACAGGACAGTGAAATTCATACAATCAGAGCAGCTTACTCCCTTGGCACTGAGTCCAGGTATACACCCACTAGGGGTGCTCTCGAACCTATTTAAAAACTTTTTTTGACTATGTGCTGTGGAACTTGTGAGTAACCCTGTTGACTATCAAAGCCAAGTAACGTGGGGGCCCATTCCTTGGGGGGGGGGGGTGTTAGTCACTCAGTCCTGGACAAATCTCTGCGACCCCAGGGACTGTAGCCAGTCAGGTTCCTCTACCCATGGAATTCTCCAGGCAAGAATACTGGAGAGGGTTGCCATTCCCTTCTTCAGGGGTTCTTCCCAACCTAGGGATTGAACCTAGGTCTCCTGTATTGCAGACAGGTTTTTTTTTACCATCTGAGTCACCAGGGAAGCCCTGGTGGAGATTCCCTCCCAGCTGTATGGTGCTGTGCAGAGGGTGAGGCTCAGACTTTCCTATCCATTTTGCTGTGGGTATTTTCTCATTCACCTCACATACAGGAGTCTCACCTCACATTTAGTTGGCCTCTGGATTTCTCCCAGATGAAATTGCTCTGTCTGTAGCTGTACATTCACTGCATTTGGGGAAGGAGGGAAGATCAGAAGCCTCCTACATCTCCATCTTGGTCCCCTGCTTCTGAGTTCACAAATTCTTTGTGCAAAAGATCTAATTATCCTTTTTTTTTTTTAATGATTTGGATCTAATTTTCTATTTCTGTTACTGGACATAGATTCGAATCCCCGTCCTGCTGGGAGACAGAATCATAATTCAGGACAGTGTCAAGAATTCAGCCTCCTCTTCACCCTTATTTCCCAAGCTGACAGAAGAGGTGGGAAATGCAAGGCCCTGCATGGGAAAGGAGTATCTGGTGCTTAGTCCATACAAGTGACCACTGAGTCAACCTCATTCCTCTCCAGTCTTCTGGACTTCAGTGGTGGGTCCACCTAGGCCACAGGTACTTTCTCTTTGTTCTAATCTTATGGCCTCTCAGGTCTGGCTTTCTCTGAATTACTTCTGTGTACAAGTAAAACTTTTAGTTGCTTCCTGCATCAAGTAGCACTTACTGCCTAGATGCCTAGACACTCATGTGGCCACAGATATTCTACTGTTGATGCATCGCACTTGACACACAGGGGCACTCTGCAAGACCAGCCACTTTCCCCATTCCACAAGGAACAAGGTATACATCTACACCCTCTCTCCTCTGAGACCTCAAAACACAGCTAAGTGTCTATCATCATTACTCCACCCACCTCCCACCCATGCACACCCTAAGACTGTGAAAAAGGAAGCTGCATCACTATCTAAGCTTTTTTGCTTCCTTAGCTTTTGAAACTTAAAAAGCATTTTGATTTCTGATTTTGTTTGACTTTTGTTTTTGTATCATCTCTCCCTGGCGATCAATGCAACTGACTGAATGGGGCATAGAATGCAAAGTAAACAAGGAAGTAAAGGCATGCTGGGAAAAATGCAATAAAATGTAATCTCACCACATTTTTATTGCAATTGTACTTTGCACGTTACAAAGTACTTTCATTTGTGTCATCTAATGTAATATTTGCAGTTCTCCTTTGAGGTAGGTATTAATCTCATTTTTTCAAAGGAAGAAACTGAGCTCAAAGAAGTTAAGTGATTAATCAAAGATCATATAAAAGGCAAGTGACAAAATCAGAACTAAAATTCAGCTCTTCCAACCTAAGCCCCAGGCTCTCTCTACCACTCTTCCAAAAGCATTTGCTCTGAGACAAAGGAAGGAATTCTTTAACCTGGAGTTTTCAAATTACGCTCCCTGGAGCCCCAGGGTCCTGTACAAGTGCTTTAGGGTCCCTCAAGGAGATAGAGATGGAAGAGGGGCAGCTCTTGGAAAAGGCCAGCAGAAGCTTTTCTTAGGTCTCATTTCTACCACTCAGCCTCACATTCAACCAGGGTAGCTCTGTATCTATTTTTTAGAAGTTCTCATGGACTTTTGGGCAATAAAAGGGGGAAAGGAAATTTTTCTACCTTAAAATTCTTTGAAAATTATTACTGTAATTTCAAAACATGTCTTTCTAACAAAAGACTGTCATACACTAAACCAAGCTAGTTGAGGGAGTCTTTCAAGAGCAAGTAATGACAGCAATCTTGTTGAAAAACGATTAAGGGCTGGGACTACTATACACACAATCACAGTCCCATTTAACTCCTTTTTTTTTTTTTTTGCTGCACAGATTGCAGGATCTTAATTCCCTGAACAGGGATTGAACCTGGGGCCAGGCAGTGAAAACACCAAGTCCTAACCACTGGACCACCAGGAAATTCCCACTCATTTTATTCTTAAAGTGAAATTCCTACTAGAAAAGCATTTACTATTAGTTATTTTACATATTAGGCAGAGACTGGAGACCTTATACAATGGGCGAAGGACTCTCGCCCAGCGAGTGACAGAGCTAGAGTGAGTACCCAGTTCAGTCATGCCCAAATCCCAACACCGCCTCCCTAAACAGGAAGGTCTATTCTATTAAGTTGGATAAGAGGTCCTATTCTCACACCTAATCTGTGAGAAACAAGACAACCTAGTCTTGAGTTTGGCCGTGCGGTCTGCTGCAAGAGCTTGAACTCCAAGTATCAGAAGTAACGAGCGGTTCCAGCTCCCACAACCCACAGGCCTCCAAACCTAGTGAATCCCAAGGGCTGGCAACGGCGATGCCCTGAGTTCCAAGGCCTGGGACCGGGCACTGTGGGGAGAAGGCCACGCTCTGGTCCCATTTCTCCACACATCATGCTCGCCACCTGCAGCTACCTTTCTCCCTGAAGGCAGAGAAGTCGCAAGAGGCACAAAGTCACCTGACGTCACTCAAACGGGGATCTAAAAAGACCAACAAATATGTGGTGGGACCCTGTGGACGATGAAAACGGGCAAGCTACCTGACTGAATACACTATCACCCCAAACGTTGGGCCTTCCATTGCACCTTCACAATCCCTTTCACACAAAACAAGGCTCATTTCATTTTTCTTGAAACACGCAACCCTCGCCTTCAGCCAGGCAGAAATTTGAGGATAAAAAAAAAGACAAAAACGGTTTCACTTCAACTTAACTCTTACAGTATCAACAGAAGAAACACCTACCCAGAACACAAACAGGAACGAACCCAAACGGGTGCGCCAGAAGTAGACGCTGGGCTGGGGATTCTTCTTCCGGGCCGGCGGCAACGACTTCCGGGGCGACGGTGAGCGAGGCGGAAGTGCGGTCTTCCGGCCGCAGCTGTCTCTGGGCGGGCCGAGGGAGGCTCCCGAGGCTGGGGGGCCGGGCCGGGATGGCGGCAGCGGCGGCCGGGGCCGGAGCAGGAGCGGCCCAAGAGAAGCAGTTCCCGCCGGCGCTGCTGAGCTTCTTCATCTACAACCCGCGCTTCGGGCCGCGCGAGGGAGAGGTAAGTGGAGCGGGGCCGCGCGCGGGCGTCCGTGGGCGGCAGAGGGCCCGGGGTAGGGGGGCTGCCGGATGGGGTCAGGCCCGGGCAGCCGCGGGGCGCGCCTGGAGTCGTCGCTCGTCAATCTTCCTTATCGATTGGCCTTTATCGGACTGTTTTGTGCTAGGGGGTGTGCGGCAGGGCCCAGACAACGCGGGCAGGGTCTGGTTGCAGATCCCAGATCCGTGCCTGTGTATTGAGTGAAGGTTCGTCGGGTTAATCACACAGGTGGGAGTCTCTCTTCTCTTGACATCAACCCTGGATGATTAAAGTTGAGCTTTTGTCTTTGTTGCTGGAAGTCCCCCGCCTAGAAGCGTAAAACAAGAGTGGGAGGCGGTAGTCCTGTAATGCAGGCTTGGCGGATCTTCGGAAAGTTTTTTTTTCCGAATTAATAAGTTAAGTCGGATGGGAGCGGATGGTTTTGTTTTGATTTTTTTGTTTGTTTGTTTTGATTTTTTATCTTTACTTTTTTAAGGTGGGGACGGTAGCTTCCTCAGAGGATGTCCGGCGCCAAGTTTTGTTGGCAGGAAATCACGGTCCTTTTAAAGGCTGCCAGTCCAAATGCTTGTGAACCTGCTGGGTTTAATTTGTGGGGAGGTGTGTGTCTGTGCATGTGCACACACACTTATTTCTTACAAGCGTTGATGTATTACAAATTAGCATGGAGAAAGAAATCCAAAGATGGGAGTTTTCAGCATCGTTGTCTAATGTTAGTTCAGATGGCATATGACTTACCAAATATCACAATTACCTTCCATGCAGGTGGGCATCTGTTACCCCGTGAAGAGAAGATAATCTTTGTTTTTCTAAAAGGGGCCTTTGTTTTGTCTTGCCAGCTAGCCGCATATGACATGAGAGGTTGACACTAAGTATTGTCGACAGCTAAGACAGAAAAAATGCTTATGTCAATGTTGTGATTCTCTCTCTTCATACTTTAGGAGGAAAATAAAATTTTGTTTTATTATCCAAATGAAGTAGAAAAGAATGAAAAAATTAGAAACGTTGGATTATGTGAAGCTATTGTACAGTTTACAAGGTAATGCCTTTCAATGTGCAGAGCTCAGTAATTCTTAAAACTTCCGGTGAGGGATTGTTGCTAACATATTCTTTTACCCTTTTTAGGACCTTTAGTCCATCAAAACCTGCAAAATCTTTACATACACAGAAGAACAGACAGTTCTTCAATGAACCAGAAGAAAATTTCTGGATGGTCATGGTATTTACATATACAGTACACTTTTCTGAATTTGTATTATACAGTTATGGGTGATCTTTACCGTTAGGAATTCAGGGAAGTCATTCAATTCAGGTCATTGCATCAAAGGAGAGTTATAGTACAGTCAGTAGCAATTTAAAAATCAAACTCCTATTTGGTGTGTTTGTTATTAGGGGCTCCTTTAAGAAGTTTTGGTGTTGGGATGTGTTCAAGTTTATTTAAGTTAGGGGAAAATTTAAAAACACATATAATTGATTCCTTATGTAATTTCAGTGTATCAAAATTTGTAGGTTGTTCGGAATCCTATCATTGAAAAGCAAAGTAAAGATGGAAAACCAGTTGTTGAATACCAAGAGGAGGAGTTGCTGGTAATGGGTCATTTTTTATTTCATATTTTTAGGAAAAGAATTGTCAATATCTTGAGTGGCTGACTTGTTCATAAGATTTAACTTATATCACTTTTGCAGAAGTTTCTCAAGGTTAGCACAGGGGAATATTGTGCTCATTGTTTCCATTAGCACAATCTTATAAAAATGTATATGTGCCGTCTCTTACCTCTGCCTTCCTCTATTCATCTGTGTTTAAAGCCCTCCTAAAAATTACACTTGTTTGCTCAGTCGTGTCCAACTCTTTGCAACTCCATGGAGTATAGCCTGCCAGGCTCCTCTGTCCATGGGATTTTCCAGCCAAGCATTACTGGAGAGAACTGCCGAACTAGGCTGCAGTCCAGTTCACTCGCTCAGTCGTGTCCGACTCTCTGCGACCCCAAGCATGGACCGCAGCACGTCAGGCTTCCCTGTTCATCACCAACTCCAGCGCTTGCTCAGACTCATGTCCATCAAGTCAGTGATGGCTATCCAACCATCTCATCCTCTGTCACCCCCTTCTCCTCCTGCCCTCAATCTTTCCCAGCATCAGGGTCTTTTCCAATGAGTCAGTTCTTCACATCAGGTGCCCAAAGTGTTGGAATTTCAGCTTCAGCATCAGTCCTTCCAATGAATATTCAGGACTGATTTCCTTTAGGATGGACTGGTTGGATCTCCTTGCAGTCCAAGGGACTCTCAAGAGTCTCCTCCAACACCACAGTTCAGAAGTACCAATTCTTCGGCTCTCAGCTTTCTTTGTGGTTTAACTCTCACATTCTCACATGACTACTGGAAAAACCTTAGCTTTGACTAGACGGACCTTTGTCGGCAGAGTAATGTCTCTGCTTTTTAATATGCTGTTTAAGTTGGTAGTTTCAGCACACAACTATTATAGGGCCATGTGTATGCACATTATATTGCTTTACCAAGAGTCACTATACCTTTACTGTGCAATTGATTATTTTTTTGTTTTCCCTCGAATGAGATCTGTGCTGTGTTTCTGTGCTGTTTGCAGGACAAGGTTTATAGTTCAGTGCTCCAGCAGTGCTACAGCATGTACAAGGTAAACACGACATATTTTCTAGGTTGAGAGTCTAGCCAATTACCCCAGTTTATTTTAGTCATTTAAAATAATTCTTAATTCTTGGGGGGAGGAGGGGTAAAAAAAATTAAAAACTAAAATAATTCTTAATTCTTTACATGACTGTAAGGTGACTATGTTTGTTATGGGGAGGAAATAATGGGGCCTGTGAAGCAGTATTGAGGTTTATGCCTGCACCGATTCATGCAATACAGAGCCCTTTTCTCTTCCCCGACTTGTCCTACGAGTGTATCTGCATCAGTGAATGATAGAATCCATGTTCTTAAGGAAAGCAGATAGTGCAGAGATTTGTATGATTTAAGAAGTCTAGCAATATTATTTATATAAAGTGAAACTTAGATGTGAGTTCACATTTTTAAAAAATACCCAGAACAGTTGGGTGATTTTACAAAAATTGCAGTATCCCTTAACAGTGTTTTGATATTTCATGACTTATAACTCAGACGTTCTAATGTAAATATTTTCTATGTTCAAAAAGAATTGCGGGATGAAATAAGCAGAATTAATGTAAAAGAAAAAGAAGAACTTGTTATATTGGGAAATTGAAGAACAAAAAATTTTTTTCTTAATCTTTTACACCATTAGCTTTTTAATGGTACATTTCTGAGAGCCATGGAAGATGGAGGTGTCAAGCTCCTAAAAGAAAGATTAGAGAAATTCTTCCATCGAGTAAGTATTTGGAATTTTCTTTGTAATCTTGGTAGTTATCAAACTGACTATTAGAGAAATACAGACAAGTTTGCTTCTCACATACAAACAAACCTAGAAATTGGAGTTGGCGTGGAGACTCAGGCATAGTGGGACAGAATCAGACCAGTGAGGAAACAGGTTAGATTTGGATTTGGATTTTTTTTTTCCAGCTTTAACCTTTATTTTATTTTTTATTTATTTATTTTGCCATATGGCAAACGGGACCTTAGATACCCGACCAGGGATCAGACCCACGCCCCCTGCATTGGAGCCCCAGAGTTAAACTCTGGACTGCGAGGGAAGTCCCTAGGTTTGCACTCTTGAATCAGAGCTTCCTGCCCATTGTGCGCAGCTCCTTAAAGCACCTTGGAGATCTCTTCTGGCTTCATCCTTGATCCACCTGCGTCTGTCAGTGTGGGCTTACTCCAAAGCAAAGCAAACTTCCTTGGGGTGGATTGGTTAATTAGCAAAATCACACATTTTCGTGGATCAATTGTTTTCATTGGATCAGGTGTCATCTGTACTGACTTACGGTGAAGTTTGCGACTATGGCACAGATTTTTTTCCCTTAGTGGTCATGAGTGTGATCTTTTTCCCCCTGCATTGTTCTCCTCCTCCTTCAGTGTCAGTTTTGCATATTTTACCCTGAAAAAAGTGAAAGTGTTAGTCACTCAGTCACGTCCAACTCTTTGCAACCGCATGGTCTGTAGCCCACCAGGTTCCTTTGTCCATGGAATTCTCCAGGCAAGAATACTGGAGTGGGTAGCCATTCCCTTCTCCAGGGATCTTCCCAACCCAGGGATTGAACCCCAGTCTCCTGCATTGCAGGCAGATTCTTTACTAGCTGAGCCACCGGGGAAGTATCCCTGGTCAGATTCAGTTTATCTTAGAGGAATGAGTCTCAATTGATCTTTCTCCCTGTACTGCTTTAATGTCTGTTTGTGAATTATTTTGTTTTTATGAATTACTTTTCTTATTTGTTTCTTCACTTTAATGACTATAATTATTGACTCTGACTGTCCCCTGGTTCCTGTTCTCATCTTTATTCCTCCCCTGTCCATCATCACTGACTGCATGCCCTTCCAGTGTGATTTTAGTATAAAATGGTCCATAATACCATGTGCAGAGGTCAGTCTAATCTGAATAGCACTAATAAGGAATTAAACACCTCACAGAGAGAAAACACAAAGCTGAAAGAACACTAATTACATTTGAACTTAATTTTTTGAAATTGGTACTGATTCCGTATCCACTTCCCTGTGGTTCACCTCCATGTTGGCCTTGTAAGTGTGCTGTTTGCTAGCATGTAATTGTACCACAAATTAAGACCTTTTATTTTCAGTTGCCAGAGTACTAGCTTCTATGTGCTAT